TATTTTTAAAATTATATTTGATTAAATTTTTACTTCCTCTATTGTTTTACATTAATTTTATTTGATATTTTATTTGCTACTTTTCTCAGTTCTAAACGATTTCATTATAAACAAATCCTGTACAGCCCTTATGAAGCCCTTATGAGTCCACTGCTCTCTAGCGTTGTTCAGTAATTACCTAGCTATTTGTTAGTATGATAAATGGAAATAGGCTCAAGGTTCTCGCTACCCCATCGTCTATAAACTATATGGCATGTAAGAAAAACAGTAATAATAACAATAACAATAATAAAAAAAAAAAACAATGCAATTGAAAATAAGAAAGAAAAATAACGAAAAAAAAAACAATATATGTGCACTTATGTATGTCTAAACGTGCTCGCATATTGAACACAATAGAAACGGAAATAGATGATTAGTTACCCTTGAACAAACCATGAATGCTTGCGGTACTTATATAGAGTATATAGTGAAAATATTTGTAAATGTAAGAATCATGAATGGACTGGCCAAGGAGTTGCACTGTCAGTGAGAAAGAGTCAAGTGTGCAGCCATCTGATATGGCCCAATTGTAGAGCCACAAAAAAAAAAAAATGGAGTAGGAATTTATTTTGTTTCCTTGCGTTTGTCAGTGATTTTTTTTTTCTATAATTTCCTTATTACGTTCTACTGTTTTTTTTTTTTGTTTTTTTTTTTTGGATTTGTAATAATAGTACTCAGCGTTTGTTTTGACATTGCCTTAGGTTTTACTTACCTGTGTCTAAACAAATACCCATTATCCATTCGGTAGCCAATATAACGGAATCAGTGCTACTTCCGTTGCTCTCCTATGACGTTTCGCGAGTTGGTTTGGATTGTTGCGTATACGTAGGTGTTGCGATTCAATAATCTGCGTTTAATGTTGTGTTAAAATTTTAAAAGTCCGCCTCTGACTAATTAAAAACATTAGTTTTGAGATATTTAGATGAAGAAGCATAAAACTAAAATATATGAAATATTTTTTTTTGTAAGAATTATTTAAATTATTTATAAATAATTTTGTTAATTTTTTTCTATATACAGTGTGTACAACTAATATATAATTATTTATTAATATTTTTTAACTTAATTATAGTACTAGGTTTTTTAAAAAATAAAATTTACACTTTCACTTCTTGTGTTTACATTTTCGATAAATTTTTTTTTTTAATGTAAAATATTAATATAAATTTAATTAAAATAAATTTTAATAATTTTTTTTTTTGTTTTTGATAATTTAGTATTGTTTTTAAATAAAGAATATTTTATTTCATTTCCTACACATTTTTAGCGCGTTTTATGTTTTGCGTGTTTTAGCTGTCGAACAAACAATTTGAACTGAATTTTCAAAATTTCAGTTGACTATGTTTTTACCTTTCCGGTCATGTTAAGCAGACCAGACTTAACTACTTTATACTAACGTCAAGCATGCAACTTAAGTAGTAAATAAGCAATACCACAAATTCCAATTCATGAATATTTTATGATTTTTACTAGTTTTTCTCTCAGCTCAATCGCATAGCCAGTGCTCCGATATGGCAATGCCATAAATGTCTGCTCTTTTCCTATGACAACAGCGACACGCACGGCTTTTCCATTTTTCCGCTTTTCCAAGTTGACTGCTCGTATGTGTGCACGCGTTCCATTCAGTCCATTCAGTTTCATTTAAACTGTTTATTCACCCCACCATGAAAAGCTCAATTTATTCCTTTTTTATATATTATTTATATTATTCATATTTTTGTTTTTTTTTTTTTTTTTTTTTTTTTTGAAAATAATACATACAATCCACATCGACTGATGAGAAGATGATGATATAAATTACTCATATAAAATTGTAAGACTCAAAGGATTTATTATGATAAGCCTTCGAAACGCTATAAGTTTTCGATTCAATCAATCTTTTATTTTATATCAATATAAATATATAGATATAATATACATTATTGTGAAATTCCTTAAATACTTGATTATCAATATGTCGCCTAAGATTTTGAAATATAAACACGACTTTTCTTTTATTTTTTTTTTTTTTTGAGTTTATACGTCGAAATACTTTAAAGTCGGTTTTGTTTTTTAGGGAATGTTAGCTTTTATTTAGATCATTATTTCTTGTATTTTTTGTGTATATCTATACGTATTTTTACCACTTTCCACTTATAAGCACTTCGAACACTTCGAAGTTCGATACTGTTGAAACTTCTCCTAAGACATCTTCATTATTTAATCTTTCGTTCACACAACGGCATTCCAAAAAAAACGTGCTTCACATTCTCTACTTCGCCCGCGCAATAAAGACAGAATAGATCACCTTCTTTTTTAAAGCGGTGCATATATTGTTTAAAGCACCTATATCCGCTAAGGATTTTTTTTAGGTAGGAGTCTATTTCACCAAGTTGTCTATGTTGTTGTTGTTTCTCCATAACGTAATATCTGGAATAAGAGTAAATGTCCACCTATTATTCTCCTCGTAGTGCACTTTAATAATATGTCACCTTTATTTTGTTTATATATGTACGTTTTTCTGTAGCAGCTGATCAGATAGGAGCCGTATATAATATAAAGGAACTCAAAACCTTTGTATGCACAATGTGATATGTGGGTAGATAAGTTAAGCTCATTGACAACAAATTGCGATGCTTAGCCTCCAGCAATATTAGTCAGAAACTCAGTACTAAAGTATTGGCTAAACATTTTGATGTATGGTTTACACTTACTGGTGAAGTATTCCTTAGCATCTTTTGTGAGTTTTTGGATCGTAACGGTTTCTTTCTGAACTATTTCCTTCATATGCTGTGCAATATTAAAGTGTTTTAATCGAGCTTTTAATATAGCTTCATTAGTTATTTGGTACGGTTCAGTATTAAAAACATCAAGCAGTTTTATATGTATTATAACTTTAAGAATGACTACCGACAACAGTCGAAATATTGAAAATAAAAAAATAAAGCAGAAAAGAATAAAGTGATTTAATCGAAAACGAAATCCCATTGGGAATACCGAAGATTGAAGTGGTAAGTCTTGTGGCACTATTGACAATCCAATGCTTAGTCGGCAACCATTCTAAAATAAAGGAAATATCTTCATTCACGAGGAAGGCAGGATCTGTAATAATGTAGACGAAAAACTAACAACTGTACGCTTTTTATATAAATCTTGAGCATACATAAAGCCAAAGATTAATTAAAGATAAAAGATTAATATTCTTTATGAATTGCGCAGGTTGATTCTGAAACTTAAATTCTTATATCTGGGTCGTTTGTAAAAAAATGAATGCTGTTCTTTAAATGAAAATACAGCACTCATCACCAAAAAGATTTAAATTTCATATTTAAAACAATTTTATTGCGAAAAAATAGCTTAGATATATTTTCTCAAGAATTCCAATTTGAGAATTATTATGGAGTTATCAGTCAGTCACTGTAGATTGAATAACTGACTAACAACGTTAGGAATCCAATTCAACTCAGACTGCAGCTACTTTAGAGAAGAGAGAGAAACAGCATGCCACGTGCTGGGGGAGCATCCGGCACTGATGGACAAGAGAAAGAAACACCTAGAAAGGTTTTCTATGTAACACAGGAATTTAAGACTAGGAAAGATGGGCATATACTGCCTTTCGTTAAAGAAACACTTGAACCGACTAAGGGGCACAGTATACTATCTATTTTTCATAACAGTAAATATTTTCTCAAAGGAGGAACTTTCTGTTAAAAAAATACAAAAAAAAACATTTTTACCATAGGCATTTTTCCACAATTTTTCTTTTCTCTAAAAAAGAGAAAGTTCTGAAATATGTATATATATATATATATATATCTTTCTTGTCTAAAGAGGATGAGGGAAAATTGGTAAAAGACATCTATGATAAAAATATTTATCTATTTGTTAATACCCAGTATTCTCATAAAAATTCATACACCCCAAAATAAAGAAATAATATCAATTCTTCAAAACCAAACTTCTTCAAAATGTCAAGAAATATTTGTAGATTTGCGTTTACCGGTCACAAATTAGTTTAGAACCGTAGAAACCTTAGAAATTAGAAAAAGTACTATATATTTATAGAACAGTGAAACACTTCAATAGTGAAAATTCAGCTTTCGTTATTGCTTCAAAAACTCGACTAGACAGTAAATCAAGCATTTAATTTGTCTCAGAGGGGTGTATTTGACATTATTTGCTGACCACAACTTTTCTCATCTACTGCATTTTCTTTTTAATCTTTCGTTATAAATACAATAAAACCAATTCCTCAAAAATTAAACATCATTATTGACAATGCATGCCATCACTGTAATCCCCCCTTTAAGGAATTAGTTTCGTTGCCGTTGATGTGGACTTCTGGAATAATTAAACTAATCTACTCGATTTATTAATGAATTAGTCGTCCATGCATCCATGAGTGATCTGTTACCCAGTGTGTTTAAATAAAATTGTTTTACCAATACTCTTGATGAGACAAAGATAATTTTGTAAAGTACATATATATCAACAACTGCTAGAAGACAAGATTAATAAAATACACATATGACGACCAGAGCCTTAAAATTATATTTAGATATATATTTAATTTTTGTGCTGTTTAATGCTTATTATTTTTATAATAAATCATGTATGAAGTACAAGTTATTCAGCAAAATATTTTGACTAGAACTGACACAATTTAACAGATCTGTTGAATAACTTAAAGGAATTCGCAGAAATAATAACATCTTACATCACAAAGTTTAATCGTTTAACCCTTAACCCCAAGTTTGTTGGAGTAGAAATGAAATATATTTCGATTCTCAGGTAGTGATATAAGTAAAAACCTAAATATTATGTATTTTATTTACTTTTCTTATTTCTTCAATCCATAGTTCCTATAATACTAAGATTTTTCTTAGCATGCTTAGAATATTCTATGTTTTTTTTTATACCATTAAGTTTTAAAACTTTTCTAGAACACAATTTTTTGATCTGAAATTATTTGAAAAAATATTGCCAAAAATTAGTTTAATATTAAGATTTTGGATATTTTTATTTAATATGACAAATAGATTTGTTTTGAATAAACATGAAGCGAATAAACTCGCAAGAGCTATTGAACGCAGAAAAATCCGTCTAACTCCTACCTTCTCTTTACCAGACAACCTAAGGCCATATGGCAAAGTCGATAAGAATAAAATTAGTATTGTGTTCTATGCCACCCCAGATCGTCTCGTGGTATTGGCTGCGATGGCTGTGGACAAGATATCTTTACCATCCGTTCAGAAATGGACATATGATGATGTTATGAGGTGGATCATATATTTGGGTTTCGATCACTATAAGGTAAAAATCATGCCATTAAAATGTATAAAATTGTTGTTAGCATAGATAAAAATTTAAACCATACTCAAAAACATTTATTTAAATGTTTATTGAACACTTTTTAAGCACTTTTGTATACTAGTTAATAATTTATTAAGTATTTTAGCCTGCATTTCGTCGGAACTTTATTGACGGTCGACGTTTATTATTTGTGGATTCCAATGCTTTAGTTAAAATGAATATTAAAGACTTTGATGACATCAGAGTAATAACCAGTGCCATACGTAAATTGCATTGCTTTGAAAATATCAAATATAGGTATAGGAGTTTACCACCGTATAAGAACTACGAATATTATAGATTAAATTCACTAAGAACTGGCAGCAGTTATGAAGGCATAAAGCCTAGCGTCTTTTTCTGGAAGTATTATTTCTTGCATGAAATACCGAAAACCATGACTCACTGGGATCGATTAACACATTGGGTACTAAGAAGACCACCCGTCGAGGAAAAAACTGTTATACCGGGACTGCCACGTTTCAAATTATATAAGTGCAAGCAGCCAGTAGTACCGCCGGTAATAGAGGAAAAAATTATATGTACGTGTACACCGCCTTGTACGTGTAATTGGCCGCCCGAGACATTGGCCTCACCAAGAGTTCTGTCCTGTTTGGAGGATCATAAAGAACAAGACGACTTTTTAAAACTACCGTATAAATTGAACACTACATTTCCAAAGAGAAATAAGATGAAATATATTGAGGAACATATTGCATCGCTTGCCTTTTCTCCATCTACTAATAGTCGAATTAATATAAAGCCAGGCAAAAGGCAGTTCCAGTCCATACCAGAATTCAAAAGGGTTAATAAAAAACATAATGAAAATTTCGAATTCGTTAGAGATAGTTTAGAGATTGCTGGAAAGAAGAGAAAAGTGAATATTAATATTGAACGCGACAGCATTGAATATCCTGAATCCTCCTCTAGTGAACCGTCTAATTTACTAACTGTTCAAGAAGTCGCCATTTCACCAGTATCGAACGAAAGGCTTAAGTTGGCGAGAGACAGTTTTACTATTTCAACCACAAGAATGTTGAAACAGAAATCTAAACGCTAAACTAACATACAAAATTAAAACATTAATTAAATACTAATTAATTAAAAATTAATGAATTGCTTTTAAAATTGCTAATTATATAAAGGTAGTCTAAAATTGAATATTTGTCTAATTTATTTTATACATTGAGAGATCTTGAAATAAAAAAATTTTTGCAATTAAGTAAAGATTTTTTTTTGTTTCGTGAAGATTTGTAACCTGAAGAAAAATAAAAAGTAGGAATAAAATATAAGATTAATATTAATTGCATATAATTTAATTTAAAATATTTTAATTTTTCTTTTTAATTGCCTAAGCAATTCCCTAAGGATGTAAAAGTCCTTCCTGGCCAGATGGACTCTATTAGTTTCGAGATTAATATTTCTTAAGGATTAGATACATTATATGGATATATTCTTTCATAAATGATTTAACTTATTTTTACATAAAAACCAAATCCATTTTGCATTTTTTATAGAATTTTATACACTTTTTCCTATTTTCGAAGTTAAAATTACCATTTGGAGAAAATTCAAATCTTTCTTTTTCTTATGGAAAATATTAATTGATTAATACTGATACTTAAGGATTTAATTGATTCCATAGTAGAAAGTTAAAGAAGGAGAAGTCGAAGTTCGCACCCTAAGACTTCTTCTTCTTTAACTTTCTACTATGGAATCAATTAAATCCTTAAGTATCAGTATCAATCAATTAATATTTTCCATACGAACTATAAATAATGAACTTTTTTTCGATTTAAAGATAATTAATTCAACTTTTAAAAAATATTTTAAACAATTAAGATTGTTTATATTTAAGTACTAATATTAACTCTTAAATTTCTGGAGTCATAAAAAATAAAGAGTTCTGTGTCTTTTTTAGTGGAAAATTTATTTAATGGTACTATGGTGCGTATGAGTGACATATGAGGTACCTGATAAATCAAGTCTTTTAAATACTATTGGAGATAATACAGAACCAAAAATATTTATTTTTCAAGTAGAAATTATTTATTATTTCGAAATAAAAATAAAAGATAAAATTCTTTTTGACATGTTTCTCCTTTTTTTTATTGAAAAATAGTGTGAATGTGTTTGGTGTGAAGGAAAAATTAATTTTTTAAAAGTATTTCCAAGGAAAATATCTTCCTGAAATTTTTGAGTTTTATGTAGAATTTTATTACTAATCAAAATTAAAAATATTATATAAAAATATTTGTAGTATATTTTCAGAGAATATATTTCAAAGAATATACTTCATTCACTGGAAATATAGTACGCGTATACTTGATGTGTTTTATGGGAGAAAAAACAATTTTAAAAAATTTCAAAAAGTAATGCAATCTTGTAAACTTTTATTTCTCATTTAAATATAATACTGAATATAAAAAAAAATATAAAAAATTAAAATTCTGGGAATATATTTGGAAAAAAAAATCTTTTTGAAATTTAAGAAATCTTAAATTTTTTGAAATCTTGATTTTTTAAACTATTTCTTAAAATTTAAATAGTTGATTATCTTTAAAATGCAACAAATTTTAAGTTCCTATCGTATATATATAACTTAAGATATGGCCATTTAAAAATGTGTATGCAATGCCAATTCTCAAAACTTCATGGGTCTAAATCTGCTATGAATAAAATTACAAAATTTTTACCCGAGAAACGGATCTTCTTATTTTATAAAAGGAGCTCATAAAAAATTTTAAACCAAATCTAATATGATGAGGTTAAAAAGCTGTCCAATATGTAAAATAAGGAGGCATATACAAAATAATGGTAAGACAATTACTTACATATGAAGCAAAAGCTTGAACGACATGAGAACAGTAACTTATATCACCGACATATCTCATGAGATCCAAAAGATGAACATAAATAGACATGTGACGTAAGTCTATGACAATCTTTTGTTCAAGCCTATCCGCGTTGAGATATTAATAAAGAGGAATAGCACCTATATTTTGAAGAAGGATTCTCTTGTTAGATAAGTGGACAACAAAATGTCGACATTAACATACAAAAACTTTGCTTGACGCCATTCAATGTTTACATATCATTTGGTAAAACAATTTTGTACTTCTTTGGGACATGTGTTATTAGACCTGCACTTTTTGCTGGTACTGGAACTGTCACTTTCTCCTTCTGCTGTCAGTGAAGATTCGTAGAGAGAATAACGCTCTCTCTCTCTCTTTCTGCTTCGTGGTCTCCGAATCCAAGTCATGATTTTTGAGCCTCGGTGAAATATTCCGACTTCATTCTGGTCTTTTTGTTGCCATCACCCATCGCAGTCATCTATGTCCATAGGACCCGGAGTGCCAATCACCGGCTAGGTGTTCCCACATCTTGATACCATTGGTCTCTGAGCAGTTCAATTAAAATCGTTCAGATCTTGAACCTTGAGTGAGGGTTCTAGGCTCTGTTCAAGATTTTTTTTAACTTTCATTGGCGAACGTAGTAGAGCTTCTTCCTCTGTCTCCGTAATTTTATTACTGTCATTATTATTCTAATTTCCCATAGAGAAAAGTTTAAAAGAGGAAAAATGGCAGAACAGGTGGCATAACTGACACCTGCTTATTTCTATATAAGCGACTGCCATGTGCATATAGTACATGTGTTTTTCCTTTGACAGACTGCAGAGTAACATTCGCAATCATACCAGGATTCCCGTATAAGCCATTATACGCAATAACGAAACCATTTATTTGAAGACTCACACACTTTGATGTCTTGCATACAATCAATTAGTCTTTTATTAAGCGAAGCAACTCGCCTCTACACTGCGCTGGGGTGACATATAAATGATTTCCGTTTTAGGTATGTGGTTGGGCCTATTACTTTGATGTGGTTAAAATAAAGGTGCTTCTCATCGCACGTTTTTCTCATTGATTTGTCTCTGCAATTTAATGAATATTATTACTAATAAGTCATGTGAAAATGATTGGCCTTGTTTTTTTCCTCTAAATTGTATTAAATAATAAATCATCCAAGAATAATAACAACAGCTAATTATTTTTTTTATGTTATGTATATTGAAAAACTATCATTAATTGTTTTACTACATATACTACTATATTGATTTGTTCTGTTTTCTTAATATATCAAAATATTTATTTAAATAATTAGCAAACGTTTACAGGCGAAAAAAATTCTTCTCGTAAACATATTCATATCACTTCGTATTTATCAGATTTGCGTTCCAAAGATTACTATCTCTTCGCTGACTTAAAAGAAATACTCAGAGAAAAGAGATTTGAGTCCAATGAAAAAATCATCTTCGAAACTTAGTCATACTTTATGGTCTTATATGAATTATTTTGTGAAAGATACGTCGTAGCGTTAGAGAAGCGCTAGAATTATTCTGTGAAAGATACGTCGTAGTGTTAGAGAAGCGCTAGAATGGTTGTATTGTTCTTCAAGGTGACTACGTTGTTAAATAAAGTCTTACTTGATCAAAATTGTCTTTTATTATTTATCTTACAGATTTATTATTTTTCAAGACTGATAGGAGTACTAATAATATCAGCATCATAAAGAGCTGTCCAATAGATAGAATTAGTCCAATAGAAGAATAGATAGACAAAAAGAAACTATTTAAAAGTAAGAAGGATCCGAATAGTAATGAAAAGACAACAACAAATTGTTTTTGTTTGTAATAATACTGAAGATAGCCTGCGAAGTTGATGGAAATATCTGCTAAATAAATATATAAATAAGTTAACAGGTATGATATTTTTTATTTAATCTTAAATTTGTTTTTATATAAGTTATTATATAAAAATATAATTCTTAAAAATATGACGTTAATCCCGGCAAAATTAAGACACATAAGTATTGAGAACAACATTAATATAAATGTCTTGAAAGTATTTAAAAGTTTGTTATATCAGTTCTATACCAGCTCTCAACGAATGGTAGCAGTGCTCCGCTTCGTTGGGACCTGGTACCCTGTTTATTTCTATCTCAGTTTTAACTTGTGGTGCACTTAATAAACTAAAATTATTGGGGAATATCCACTGATTTAAATTTTAAAAATATTTAAATATATAATCTCAAATTTTTTTTTTTTTGCAAAAATTTTCCAATGAACTTAGCATATGCCTTCCACATTGACTGCCTTATATGTTAATTTGTAAATATTTTATGAAGGTGCAATCAATGACAACTCAAGTTCATTTAATCAACACGAATACTAAGAAAAAATTACAAAATTGCTTTCAATCGTTAAATTTCGCTTTGTTTTTTTCAGATTTGAAATTTTGCAAGTTAGATTGACTCGATGTATATAGATATAGATTGCAACAAAATAATGGTTGAAAAATAATAAGATAATTGATTTTTCCTTTTTGCTTGTACTCGTTTCCTCTAAACGTATGACATTTTAATTAGTGCTGGTATACAGCAATGATACTGCGGTGTTAATGTTTGAAATTTTAATTAAATTACTCATACGCCACGGTGTTCTGTTATTGTAAGGTAATGCTACTGCCTTACTGCCTACATGATGTTTACATATACATATCTAAATACCGACATTCATATAATTACAAACAAACCATGCATTGTATTATTTATTAATAAAGTTCATTCATTAGTTTTGCAAGGACCTTCAGAGTTTTTTGTTAGCCTTTTGTTTTAATATTCAATATGTTAGCTTTCAAACGTATTTTGTGTTATCAGAAGTTACATTTTCAGTAAATGAATTAATCATAACTTGGGTCAACAACAATAGACGATGTTTTATTAACTTTTTTACCATAAGCGACAAGTTTATGAGAAAGAACATGGAAATAATAGCACTTGATTTGCTAAGAAGACAGTTTTACTCAAGGTTTATGACTTAATGTGTTTAAATGGAGCTAAAGGCTATTACTGAATTCAACTGTGTGTACTAAAATGCATTATGTGTTGTACTTAATTCAATTCTTCAATTTATTTGTCAAGAATTTTTGTCAGTTTCAAAATTTGAACTGGTATTTGAGTTTCTTTTTTTGTGAGAAGTCTTACAATATCTTCTAAGGATTCAATTAAAGTGCATTTGTACTTAAAAAAATCAAATATAAGCTATTTAAAAGGGCATAGACGAGTTTCGGGTACCAAAACAGCTGCAAAAGTTCATATTAGTTATCTACAATATTCATACCACAT